TGAATTGAATCGAATAAATTAAAATATATATTTTTACTTAACATACAATTATATTCACGTATATTTAGTTTTATTTTTTATTTAAATTCATAATTATTTTTATTGTTTATTCAAATTAAATCTTAATTAAATATTTGAAAATAAATATATCAATATTGTTATTTTAGGTTGAAACGCAGACCTTCACAAATAAAACGCAGAAGAAAAACGTAAATATTATAAAATTTTGGATTTGAAAATTATATTATAATATTATTCTCAATTAAAAAGGATCCCAGAAACCCTAGAAGGACAACGCCCACCTATAAAAGGCAATCATTCTTCACCCAAACCCTCGTTACTCCAATTCTGCCGTGGGGGGCTCTGCAACCAAGCCTTCCAACCATGCAGATTTTCGTGAAAACCCTAACGGGTAAGACCATCACCCTCGAGGTCGAGAGCTCCGATACCATCGACAATGTCAAGGCCAAGATCCAGGACAAGGAGGGAATTCCCCCGGACCAGCAGCGTCTGATTTTCGCCGGAAAGCAGCTTGAGGACGGCCGAACCCTCGCCGACTACAACATCCAGAAGGAATCCACGCTTCACCTTGTTCTCCGCCTCAGGGGAGGCGCCAAGAAGCGTAAGAAGAAAACCTACACCAAGCCGAAGAAGATCAAGCACAAGCATAAGAAGGTCAAGCTCGCCGTTCTCCAGTTCTACAAGGTCGATGACTCTGGAAAGGTACAGAGGCTGAGGAAAGAGTGCCCTAATGCAGAGTGCGGCGCTGGAACTTTCATGGCTAACCACTTTGACCGCCACTACTGTGGTAAATGTGGTTTGACCTACGTTTACAACAAAGCTGGTGGTGATTAGGTTTATCGTTGTTTTTCATCATGCTTTTGTTTTATCTAAACGTTTTATGTTGTTGAATTTATCTAGAATTTCTACTCCAGCTTGTGGAGTTCAGTTTTTGACATGGATTTTAATTTCTTAATGTCTCTCTACTACCGTTTTCAGTAAGATCCACATACTTAGTATTTTTCGATTCTTATCCTTGACATAATGTTTCATTTGGTTCTTAGTTTCATTGTTTATATGCCTTCTCGTTAACTTCATATATTTGTGCTGAAAGATATTGGGAGTTCAGTTTTTGACATGGATTTTAATTTCTTAATGTCTCTTTACTACCGTTTTCAGTAAGATCCACATACTTAGTATTTTTCGATTCTTATCCTTGACATAATGTTTCATTTGGTTCTTAGTTTCATTGTTTATATGCCTTCTCGTTAACTTCATATATTTGTGCTGAAAGATATTGGGAGTTCAGTTTTTGACATGGATTTTAATTTCTTAATGTCTCTTTACTACCGTTTTCAGTAAGATCCACATACTTAGTATTTTTCGATTCTTATCCTTGACATAATGTTTCATTTGGTTCTTAGTTTCATTGTTTATATGCCTTCTCGTTAACTTCATATATTTGTGCTGAAAGATATTGGGAGTTCAGTTTTTGACATGGATTTTAATTTCTTAATGTCTCTTTACTACCGTTTTCAGTAAGATCCACATACTTAGTATTTTTCGATTCTTATCCTTGACATAATGTTTCATTTGGTTCTTAGTTTCATTGTTTATATGCCTTCTCGTTAACTTCATATATTTGTGCTGAAAGATATTGCTGCTGTTCTCTGTACGATTAGTAAGATGTGATGTTTAGTAGTTCTTAAGTCTGTTTTTATGTTTATTTATGTTAATCGTTCTTGTGCGTAATTTGAATCTTCAACGATCCAGATGTTCACATCTTTCTCCATTGTCATTGCTGTATGCATCAGTAAATTTGCAACTACACAAGATATTGTGGCCTGTATCCATGACTTAGTACTTGGGTCTCGTATGTTATGTAGTTTGAAACTGTTCTATTGTCTTCTTGGGTCTCTTATCAGCAAGTATTTGATCGACTCTGGACTGGGCATATCTATGTTCACCATTGTGACCAAATTAATATGATTTGCTGCTAGAAATAAGCAATTTTGACCGCCAAATTTTCATCGATTGATCAATGTGCTTGCATTTTTCTTTTCTCACGGATTTGTGTATCTTTGTATTAGAAGAGTCGAGAAGTTGTTTGATTCTTGTTTTAGCTGTTGTGCTTGGTAGCAGTGATGCATTATGTTCACGTTTATCTGAGTTCAATTAAGGTGCTTTTGTGATGAACTTTGTAATTGCTTACTCCAGGACCAATATCTGAGAATTTTAAGTACAGAACTTGTTCTTTGTTTCGTCAACACTACTATTTCTGATCTGTATATTCTACTGCTCTTAATCATCTGTGGCTGATTTAAGCTATAGAAACCCTCAATCTGTGTGTTCTTCAGTTGATTGTATGCGAACTTAAGTCTTTGCAGATTCTTTGATGCCTTGAATTTATGAACTGAAATTGATTTGAATTCTGTCAGCTGACCTATTTATGCTAGTAATCTATACTGTTTCCATACCCCGGAAGCCTAGAACTGATCTGGGTATTACTTCTTTTTAGCTTTGTAAAAATCTTGGAACTCATTGTTTCTGGTTTAATTGTTTGTTTAAATGTTATAAAATTGTTTGTTGAACGAATGTTTGTTGAACGAATGTTTGGTACTGTAATTTGTATTGAAAAGCATGAATCTTGGCAGATTTCATTGTTGTTTTTTGTAATCTAATTAACAACCCTATTTCCCCAAATTTCTTATGAAAATTGGGCAGATTAGATTGTTAACGTTTTAGGCAAGGTCTTTTTTTTTATGTTCTGAAAAATATTTTGATTGATTTGATGTCCTAAAATTGTTCTATAGATTGCATGCATATTTGGCAAGTTTGAATTTGCTTATAATGATTGAAATGGTTTGTTGAATGATTGTCCATATGTTGTTCGATTGATACTTTTATAAGTAGCGAAGGTATCTCTTGTAATACCTTAGTTTTGTTTGGAGGGAACCTTTATTATTAATACTCTGATACTTTTATTAAGTTGTATGAAATATCTCATTCGGATCCAACTTTATTCATTTAATTTTTTGAACTTTGAACGCTGAACTTTGATCTCAATGTTAGAACTCTAATCTAACATTAGTAGATGTTGTCTGTTTTGATCCATTGTGTATGATGTCAGTCTCATGGGTTCAAAATGCTTCTTGAGAGGTTTTCACATCTTTATAAGAAATACTTCTCTCCAACTAATGTGAGATCTCACAATATATTCCTTTGGGATCCAGAGTTGGCACATAGTCCGTTTTGGCTTGTTACGTATCGTCGTTAGCCTTACAAATGGTTCTATTAGGAAGATGTTTTCATACCCTTATAAAAATGGTTTGTCATTCCCACATTTAATAACACATTGAAACTTTAATGTCGCAGCAAATATGACAAGTTTTGGAGCTCGTCTTCTTACTTAGAAACCTCTCTGCTTAGCTTTCCTCCTTCTAAGCCATTGACCCAAAGAGGTTTTGATTATGAAACAATCAACCATCTCTTTGAACTGCCTGAACAGATTTGTTATGTGCACACCACTTTGTCGGTAAGTTGGTGTTCTTTGTTGTTATTCAGCTAATTCTGTTAATGATTCTTCTTTTGGTTTGTCCTTTCATCGGGAAATGCAAGTCAGCGTGCCGTGCTGCTTGTCGATGTCGGTGTCGGTGACGATGATGTGTGGCCACTTCTCAAGTCTCCTTTCTGTCAACATGATGAAGGGCGCTCATGTTCCTCTCCATTTTCTGTCTTCTCTTTCTCGCAATGTGGTAAAGACTTTGAAGATGTTTTGGACTCTTGAATGATGGTATAGTTCTGATATCATTTTTAACAATTCAAGTCCATCGCTAACATGTATTATTTATTTTGGCCGTTACGGATTGTCATCAACGTCATGATTTTAAAACGCGTTTACAAGGGAGAGGTTTCCACACCCTTGTAAGGAATGTTTTGTTCTCCTCTACAATCGATGTGAGATCTTCAAATTTCATCCCAAAAACCATATTTTGAGTCTAATTGTATCAACAGTATTCAAACGGCTAGATAATTGTAACTAATGATTGAATCACTACTATCATAGAACCATACATAAGATTCTCATTTTATTTTGCACTTTGATGGTCATAAGTAAATCTAACGATCCTGTTAGATTTCCTTTTTTTTTTTTTTTGGAGAAAAAGGAAGTTCCGAACAAAATCAATGAAACAGAAGAGATCCAGTGAATGAAAAGAAAATCTAACGAAAATCTAATGGCATGTAATTGTTACCATTTGTAACCATTCAAGCTCATCAGTAACAAATACTATCTGTTTTGGCCGTTACATATTGTTATCGGTCTCACATTACAGTTCTAAAACGTGACTGCAAGAGAAAGACTTCTACACCCTTGTAAGGAATGTTTCGTTCTCCTCTAAAACGCATTTGCAAGAGAAAGGTTTCCACACCCTTTTAAGGAATGTTTCGTTCCTCTCTCCCATCGATATGAGATTTTCAAATTTCATCCCAAAAATCATATTTTGAGTCTAACTATATCATCGGTATTCAAATGGCTAGATAATCATAATTAATGAAACGTAATATTTTATAGAACAATACATAAGATTTTCATCTCATACGACTCTTCGAGGGTCATAAATAAATCTAAAAATTTCGAACAAAATCAATAAAACTGAAAAGATCCCGTGAACGAAAAAGAAAAAACAAAAGACAAGTTCCACATTAAAAGAACGTAATTACGAAGCTTCCTAAATGGAAATAAAGAATATTCAAAATTAGAAAAAGATTAGAAGGACTATTCTTTTCGACTATATATATTTAAAATTAATCATTCAAATTACTAATGGGCCTAATTCAGCCGCTTTGCTTAGCTAAAATGGGCCCATTTGGGCCCATCCAAATGGTCCCACTTCAGACAATTATACCAACGGACGAACGGACGGCTGAGATTATGGTTCCTAATCAACCGTCTTAAATCCATAACTTAGAAGATAAAATGACAACATTAACTCTTTTTTAATATTCGAGTATGTCCGAAGACGCCGTCAGAATAATAATAAAAAAAATAGATAAATCCCGCCGCCGTGACAGCCTGGGAAGCTTCATTAATGATGGAATCAGATCAAGTTTCTGCTCTACCCGCAGCCATTTTTTCCTCTCCACCTCCTGAAACCGCCAACCGAGCTCTCCAATTCTCGCAAACTTCAGCTGCCGGCGCCGTCGTCGAAGGTGAGTTCCGATCTTCCACTGGAATTCGTCTTTTTTCTGAGAGGATTTTGTTTTTAATTTAATTTGTCTCTGTTCTTAAGGGGATTCTATAATCCGGTCAACTTCTCTACTCCGGCCCTCATGATTTTGGCTTATTTCAAGCTGTTCATCATGATCTTGATGTTATCTTCTTCGGATCGTATTGTATTCAATTACGAGTCCGATTTCTATGTCTTTGATTCATTAGTTTCATGTTTTTCTGTTCTTAGCGATGTCGCAAATCATTGTGTTTTAGTGATGGAAAAGATTTGATGCATTTTGATTTCAGATTCTAATGTTTGAAGATTGTTGTTCCATGCAAAGTTCTGGGTTGACTTTAGGTCAACGTTTTGTTCTTCCCCAAGAGTTTGATCTGATGGTTCCTAGTTGAATTATGGGGAAGTTTTGTAGGGTTCATTGGTTCTATGAAATTTTGATCTCATTTATATCTTTCAACATTAACAAATATAAGAGACTCGTGGAAAGGGAGGACGGGATGGGGTTAGATGTAACGTCTCAAGCCCACCGCTATCAAATATTGTCATTTTTGTGCTTTCCCTTTTGGGCTTCCCCTAAAGGTTTTTAAAACACGGTTGCTAGGGAGAGGTTTCCACACCCTTACAAAAAAATGTTTTGTTCTCCTCTCTAGCCGATGTTGGATCTCACATTCCACTCCCATTTGGGGCCCAACATTCTTGCTGGCACACCATCCGGTGTCTGGCTTTGATACCATTTGTAACAGCCCAAGCCCACCGCTAACGGATATTGTCCTTTTTGAGTTTCTCTTCAAGGTTTTTAAAACGTGTATGCTAGAAGAGGTTTCCACGCTCTTATAAAAAATGTTTTATTCTTCTCCCCAACCGATCTGGGATCTCACAATCCACCCCCTTTGGGACCGAGTATTCTTGCTCGCTAGCACACCACTCGGTGTCTGGCTATGATACCATGTGTAACAGCCCAAGCCCCCACCACTAGTAGATAGTATCCTCTTTGGGCTTTCTCGTCTAGGCTTTCCCGCGTTTTAAAACCTTGAGAGAAAGCCCAAAAGGGAAATCCAAGGATGACAACATATACTAATGGTGGATTTGGGCGGTTACATCAGACTTTACATAAGAGTAATTCTTTGGTTGGTTTTTTAGGGGAGGTTCGATAGCATTTCATCTCGGACTCGGTAGCAGAAAATCATTAACAAACAATAGGGAATTGTTTGCACACTAAAGTGAAAGAAATGGGTTCTGAAGGTCCAGCTGGAGTTACTATTCACGTGACTGGATTCAAGAAGTTCCATGGGGTTGCTGAGAATCCTACAGAGGCCATTGTCAATGACTTGAAGGCTTTCGTGGAAGAAAGAGGGCTACCTGCTGGTGTTACCCTTGGAAGTTGTACAGTTCTAGATGCTGCTGGGGATGGTGCTCGTACTGAGCTCTATAAAGTTCTGGATTCTGGCATATCAAACATGACAGAAACTAACAAAGTCGTATGGGTCAGTTCTTTTTACTATCTTTTTTGTTTTGGTAATCTTTTATTGAACAAATTCTTACATATTTATAGCATTTATAAACGTGTATTCAGCTAATATTTCTAACCAACAAAGATAAACCACACATAGATTGAATACTAAACCTGGAAAGGATTCGTTGATGTTGATTCAGCTTCACTTGGGGGTCAACAGTGGGTCAGTGAGGTTTGCTGTTGAATCGCAAGCTGTGAACGAAGCGACTTTCCGCTATCCAGACGAACTCGGATGGCAGCCTCAGGTTGATTTTCTCTTTTACTTCTCGAGCTGTTTATGTCTTCAAAAAGTCCCTTGTATAACAACATAGACATTTCAGGAAAAAAAAAAAATCAGTAATCAATGTGAAAATAAACTGTGGTAGGTGAACCATTTGTAACGGCCCAAGCCATTGCTAGTAGATATTGTCCTCTTTGGGTGGGATTCTCTTCGAGGTTTTTAAAACGTGTCTGCTAGGGAGAGTTTTCCACACCCCTTATAAGGAATGCTTTGTTCCTCTCTCCAACCAATGTGGGATCTCATAATCCACCCCCCTTTGAGGTCCAGCGTCCTCGCTGGCACTTGTTCCTTTCTCCAATCGATGTGGGACCTCCAACCCACCCCCTTTGGAGCCCACCGTCCTTGCTGGCATATTGCCTCGTGTCTACGCCCTTTTGGGGCTCAGCCTACTCGCTGGCACATAGTTTGGTGTTTAGCTCTGATACCATTTGTAATAGCCTAAGCTCACCGCTAGTAGATGTCTTTTTTAGGCTTTCCTTTTCAGGCTTCCCCTCAAGATTTCTAAAACGTGTTTGCTAGGGAGAGTTTTCCACACCCCTTATAAGAAATGTTTTGTTCCCCTCTCCAACCAATGTTGGATCTCACAATCCACCTCCCTTCGGGGTCCAGCGTTCTCGCTGGCACTTGTTCCCTTCTCCAATCGATGTGGGACCCTCAATCCACCCCCTTTGGGGCCCAGCATTCTTGCTAGCATATTGCCTCATGTCTACGCCCTTTTGGGGCTCAGCCACCTCCCTAGTACATCGTTTGATGTCGGCTATGATATCATTTGTAACAGCCCAAGCTCACTACTAGTAGATATTGTCCTATTTGGGCTTTCCTTTTCGGGCTTCCCCTCAAGGTTTCTAAAACATGTCTGCTAGGGAGAGTTTTCCACCTTCCTTATAAGAAATGTTTTGTTCTTTTCTCCAAACAATGTGGGATCTCACAATCCACCTCCCTCATGCCAGCATCTTTGCTGGCACTTGTTCTTTTCTCCAATCGATGTGGGACCCCCAAATCCACCTCCTTCGCGGCTCAACGTCCTTGTTGGCATACTGTCTCATGTCCTCCCTCTTTTGGGGCTTAGCCTCCTTGCTGGCACATCGTCTAGTGTCTGACTTTGATACAATTTGTAGTAGCCCAAACCCACTACTAGTAGATATTGTCCTCTTTGGGCTTTCCATCTCAAATTTTCCTTCAAGATTTTAAAACGTGTCTGTCAGGGAAAAGTTTCCGCACCCTTACTTGAAAACAAATGGATCCAATCTGATGAACTACCTCTCTATTTCTTCTGGAACTCACAAACTGTTTGCATCTGTCTTCCCATCGTACTGGATAACTCATCATTTCAATTTGCTGAAGAGAAACCAATAAATCATGTCAGTATGAACGAATGCAAGTAAAAGAAAAACTAGAGACAATGTATATCCATGGTTTTCGATGCATTCTGTGTTAGTTTTCATGTATATATTCTTCATCATTGTTCTTCATTATCCAGAAACTTCCCATAGTCTTGGAGGATGGGGAAATCTCAATAATTAAAAAGGTACTTCTCTCTTACCTTTTTCCTTTCAAACTCTTAAATCTGGATTGAAACTCACAGTGAATCATTGTTTCAAGACATCATGTTCGGCTCTGGCGATCTTAGAGAAGTTGAAGTCAAAAAGCTACAACGTGATATTATCGGACGACGCGGGTCGTTTTGTTTGCAATTATGTATACTACCACTCCCTCAGATTTGCAGAACAGAAGGGTCACAAATCCTTGTTTGTTCATGTTCCTCTGTTTTCAAAAATCGACAAAGAAACCCAGATGCGTTTCGTTCACTCACTTTTAGAGGCCATTGCATCTACTTGTTAAAAAAATTGTATTGTTGCTGTGATTGCTCCTTCAATTCTATAAATGTTCATTTCCAAGCTGTGAACTCTGTTTCTTGCAAGTAAGGGCTTTTCTGACAAGGAACTTTCATCATTATAGCCCGTTGAACCCTATCCTCCTATCAAAAAAAGAAAGATAAGCAACCTTGTTTTCTGCTAAAAGTTTTTGCTATTATTATTATTTGTTGATAATGAATGGAAATCTTCATAAATATTATCAGATAATGTCGATACTGTTAGCAAGTTCTGTCTCATCCATGTACGGCCTGTGATACTGTTGTATAAGGTAGTTTGTTTGTAATCATAACGTTGGGTATGTTTGTAATCTATCTAGTACTTTTCACATCGTATTTGCAAAGGCAAAGGCAGTTTCCTCTTGCGCTGGTTTGCTGTTTTGTGGGTCTGGATTGTGGAATGGAAGCACCTGACCACCATGTAACTATATAAACTACCCTAAGCCTGTCAATTACCAGATGAATCACCATTTTTTTTAAAATTTTACTTGTATTGTTGAAACTTGCTTGAACATGAATAACACCCTTTGGCACTCCAGCTTAGTAGTTTCCATCGCCTGTCTAGGATTGAGCCCGGGGCCCGGGGATACTGATGCCTAAATCTGGGATAAATGGAAATTTTATCGATAAGAGTCTTCTTATCTCTTTTGCAGAAAGCTCTACAAGCGGTCTATTGCTCTTTCCTTGTGCCTATTTTGCTATTGAAGACGAGACATAATAAATGGTCGTTCATGTTTTTTGTAGTTTAACGATGTGGGAGGAGAGAACAAACTATCGATACTTGAAATAGTAATCAATGTCTTACCCTAGTTTGACCTAATGGGCTAATACTCGGTTTGATGTCAAACATTTTGCCATGCATAGAAGAAACTTCATAGTAGAGATAGCTAGGATGCATCAATGGCGGTGTTGAATTTGGTACGCTGGTTTTAGAGTAAAGCAAAGAAACCTCAAAATTCTCTCTTCTACTTCACGTGTAGACATAATGGAAAATGGCTACCTCCTCTTAATCTGCTTTCAAGCAAAGCCATATGCCAACTAAAATGTGTTCTTCATTTTCCTTATAAATTCTAACCTCTTTCATTGAATGATACCATTAACACAAATCACTTCAGTAATCTCTTCAACCAAGTCGACTAAAATGGACAAGTTCTTCCTGCTTCCCCTGCTTCCCCTGCTTTCCCTGCTGATCATTGCCTATGGAGTTTCCTGCAGCATTGACCCCGAAAGCGACATCGACATGGTTAAAGAGCTCAAAACTTTCAACATTGAAGAACAGGACGACAATGTGGTGGACACATACGCAATCCCAGTGTGGAAAAGCGAGCGTGGTAGTCGGTCTCTAATGAATGTGGATAGTTTTGACGCGGTTGGAGATGGAGTTACAGATGATACCATGGTAGTATATAAACATTTCCATTTTGGAAACATGATTTTGGCAGAGATGATACTAAACCAGAGTGTTTATTTTGCTATCAGGCTTTCAGGAAGGCATGGGAAACTGCATGCAGCGCTGCAAAATCAGTTCTTTTGGTGCCAAAAGAAAAGAGATATCTGGTGAATGCTACCACTTTTAAAGGGCCATGTAATGATGGTATGATAATCCAGGTAAAACACAAGATTATATAAGGATTTCTTTGTTTTTTTTTTTTTCTCCAAATAAATGGGAAGATCATGGTTGAATGATAGAACTAGCCTTGCAGATTGAAGGAACAATAATTGCACCAGATGAACCAGAGAAATGGGATCCAAAACTTCCACGACAATGGCTGGAATTCACAAAACTAAATGCAGCTACATTTCAAGGTGATGGAGTAATCGATGGCTCCGGTGAGAAATGGTGGGCAGAATCCTGTAAAAAAAACAAGTCCAGGGTAAATTTTGAGCTGTTCCAGTGCTTGTTTCTTAGATTATGTAATTCAAATGCTGATCATTTCTGGTTTTTTTTTACAGCCCTGCAAAGGAGCACCAACAGTAGGGACAAAACCACCTCAAAAACCTTAATCTTTCCAAGTGCAACACATTCTGATTTGATGTTTTTTTCTTGCAGGCATTAACCATTGATTCAAGTTCAAATATAAGAGTAAAAGGCCTTACTATTCAAAACAGCCAACAGATGCATTTCACCATTGCACGGTCGGAAACCGTTCGGATTACGGAGGTACGAGTCTCATCGCCAGGAGACAGCCCGAACACGGACGGGATCCACATCACTCAATCAACTAATGTCGTAGTCCAAAACTGCAAAATTTCTACAGGTTTAACCCCAGTGTTTTCACGCTCTAAACTGGCTGGAAAGTGTATTGATTAAGAATGGTTGTGTAATGAATATGTAGGTGATGATTGCATATCCATTGTCAATGCTAGCTCTGGCATCAAAATGAAAGGGATATCATGTGGACCAGGACATGGGATCAGGTATCAACAAGTGGCTTCATTTCATTCAGCTCCAAAACAAGATCAATGTCTTAGAATTCGATTCTCTTTGTTTGTTTGCTGTGAAACTGTGTTCATCAGCATTGGAAGTTTAGGGAAAGACAACTCTGCTGGGATTGTGTCAAAGGTGGTGCTAGACACTGCCTTCCTACGAGAGACAACAAATGGTGTTAGAATCAAGACATGGCAGGTTAGAATCACAGATTTAAACACAACTTTGATACTATTTTTACACGGTCATATGGTGTGAGAATCCACATTGGTTGGAGAGGAGAACGAAACATCCTTTATAAGGGTGTGGAAACCTTTCCCTAGGAGACACATTTTAAAGCCTTGAGAGGAAGCCTGAAAGGGAAAGCCCAAAAAGGGTCGTATCTCCTAGTGGTGGGCTTGGGCTGTTACAAATGGTATCAGAGCCAGACACCGGACTATGTGCCAGCGAAGAGGCTGTTCCCTGAAGGGGGTAAACATGAGGCGGTGTGCTAGTAAGGACGCTGGGCCCCGAAGGGAGGTGGATTGTGAGAATCCCACATTAGTTGGGGAGGAGAACAAAACGCCCTTTATAAGGGTGTGAAAACCTTTCCCTAGGAGACACGTTTTAAATCCTTGAGGAGAAGCCCGAAAGGGAAAGCCTATAGAGGACAATATCTGCTAGCGGTGGGTCTTGGCCATATGGGAAATTATAACCAATAACAATGGGGAAACTACTATGTTCATGTGGCTATAGGGAGGTTCGGGGTATGTTCGTGCCGTACGATTCGAAAACGTGAGAATGCAAGATGTTGAGAACCCAATTATCATAGATCAATTCTACTGTGACTCTCCTAATGCTTGTGAAACTCAGGTATTATCCACAAATCCATATTCAGCTACTAATCATTAAGAAAAAGTTTGGCTAATGCCTTTTGTTTTTGTTAGACATCTGCCATTAAAGTAAGCCAAATCATGTACCGGAACATAAGTGGAACCACAACAAGCAAGAACGCAATGAAATTCGCCTGTAGCGACAGTGTTCCATGCAGCAACATAATTCTAAGCAATGTCAATTTGGAGAAGACGGATGGCACAGTGGAGACCTATTGCCATGCTGCTCAAGGCTTCGGATATGGCGTCGTGCACCCATCGGCCGACTGCCTAACCTCCAGCGACAATGACTTTGCTGCTAAAGATCAAACCCAACTCCCTACTGAGCAGCACATTGTTCACACTGAACTCTGACCTTGTTATCCTGTCTATCTGTACTAAACTACTAAAAGGATCATAATTTTACATAGCATAGACAATTATACCTACCCTTTTGGAATCTAAATAGAAATATAGATTACTAAGTAAAGGATTGTACTACTGCTAGAAGAACATATACATATTTTGAGTGTATAGTAAAGTTTTTTTTTTAATACTAAAGTTCATATCATATGGTTGATTGTTCTCTGAACTATAGGTAGTATATACATTACTCCAAGAAAGAACTATATAATATACAAAAATGTGAAGATGGGTAGTAGTGGACAATGATGAGTAACAATTAAGGGGAAGATTGAGGAGGAAGGAACATTGTTAATGGAGTACATTGGACGCCCAGCAAACAAATCAAAGTTGAGTCTTCCTTTCTGAACATTCTTAATGTGAATACCAACAAATGAAGTGAAAACAGAGCGGTTTCTGGTGGAATTTCAACTTCAAGAAAGGGAAAGATGGCGTACGGTAGAAGTCATGTAACAAGACAAAGTGGTCCAGTTGAGTAATTTTATTGTATCAAAATGGCACTTCCACTAAGTGATGGTCGATGAAACTGTCAGATTCTATGTTGGTTGAAGAGGGGAATGAAACGTTTCTTATAAGACGTGGAAACTGCTCCCTAGTAGACGCGTTTTAAAACCGTGAGGCTAACGGCGATACGTAACGGGCCAAAGCGGACAATATCTACTAGAGGTGGGATTGGGTTGTTACAAATAGTATCAGAGTCAGACACAGGGTGGAGTGCCAGCGAGGATGCTAGCCCCCCACATTAGTTGGAGAGGGGAACTAAACACGTCTTATAAGGACATGGAAACTTCTCCCTAGTAGACGCGTTTTAAAATCGTGAGGTTGGAGGCGATACGTAACGAACCAAAGCAAACAATATTTACTAGTGGTGGACTTAGGCTGTTACAAATGGTATCAAAGCCAGACACAGGACAGTGTGCCAGCGAGGTGCTAGCCCCTCACATTGGTTGAAGAGGGGAACGAAACATTTCTTATAAGAACATGGAAACCTCTCCCTAGTAGACGCGTTTTAAAACAGTGAGGCTGACGGCGATACATAACGGGCCAAAGCGGACAATATCTACTAGTGGTGGACTTTGACTGTTACAAAGGGTATCAAAGCTAGATACCGAGCAGTGTGCCAGCAATGACACTGGCCCCAAAGAGGGTGGATTGTGAGATCCCACATTAGTTGGAGAGGGGAGCAAAATATTACTTATAAAGACGTGGAAACCTCTCTCTAGTAGACGCGTTTTAAAATCGTGAGACCAAAATGGATAATATCTACTGGCGGTGGACTTGGCTCTTACAGAAATAGAGAAAACGCACCCCCACACCCCATAAAACTAAATTCACTTTTGAAGAAACAGAGAGTGGAAATAAACAACTACTGGTATCCAACGCTAACTTGAAGGGCAGTATGACCTTACAAGCAATGCTAAGGTGCTTAGGCATATACCCTTATTGGCAGAGTGGGCAGTGACAATGACAGTGCCCTTAGAAGAAGAGCCCCAAAGGCATACCCTTATTGGCGAAGAGTCCTAAACTTCAAGGGCATTGACCTTTGGTACATCTCAAACTGAGAGAGGTTTGGCAAAGGAAAGTCCCTTTACTTGTTCAGAGTGGAATAAGGCCAAATTGTAGGGACAGAAAGGGTGTTTTTAAAAGGGAAGAATGAAGTTGGGACAGAAATGGAGGTGATAAGCGCAAGGCTTTAACCACACGTAGAATAATAAAATCAGCTAAAAGCAAGGCAAGAACAAAAGGAAGGAACAAGAAGGGCCTGCAGATAAGAAAGTGCGACCCAGAACTGATAGAAAAGATAAAGAAAAATGTCCACTTTTTCTGTAAGGGACGAACTTTTTTCAAATACCTCGTGACCATTATCCCTCATCTTCAATGGGCCATTCCTTTTTCTTCAAACGTCCCCTCACTGCTCACATGTCTTTTACCATGAGCCTGAAGGTATCTTTAGTGGACGCTTGTGGTATACCTTTTGTATTTATCAGTTTTATAATTTGTGAATCTCTTAGATATAAATTAAATAGTGTTTAATAAAATCTTAAATTTATAATTTAATCTTTTCTTTAAAACCTTATACAATTCGGGTAGATATGGTCCTTTTTAGACTTTCCTTTCAATTTTTTAAACTGCCTCTGTTTGGAAGAAGTTTCCACACCTTTATTACTAGTAGATATTATCCTCTTTAGACTTTTCCTTTCGGGTTTCCCTTAAGGTTTTTACGTGTCTACTAGGAAGAGGTTTTCACACCTTTATATCCTTTCCGGGCAAAACGTCCTCGCTAACACTCGTTCTCCTCTCCAATCGATGTGGGATCTCACAATCCACCTCCCTTCAGGACCTAGTATCTTCATCGACACACCCCTTGGTGTCCACCTCCCTTTAAGACTCAACATCCTGGCTCTAATACTATTTGTATGCTTGTTCGCTTTGGTCTTTTACGTATCACGGTTAATCTCACGGTTTTAAAATTCTTCTAAGGAGAGATTTTCACCCCTTATAAAAAATGGTTCATTCCTCTCTCCAACCGAGGTGGGATCTCTCTTAAAATAAAAGTATCTCACGAAAAATTAGAATCCAAAAATTTGAAAATTTGTAAACAATATCCGACCCGACCTTAATTATCAAAATGATAAAAGCACATATAAATATGGAAACATAAAAGCAAAAACAGAACGGTGGGGAATAAAAGAGTGATGTGAGCATGGATATAATTTATGTAGTTCACGAGAATGATATAAAAAAAGTTCACGAGCATTTGTATTAAGACCCACGTCTCTCTCAAAACCCCTCTGTTTTACACGATCACCAAAATAACGCAATTACTCTCATTAATCATTTCACCATCAAATTACCTAATAAAGCAATAACACACCCATTCCATTGCCTAATTTGCTTGCTATATTATAACGCCCTTCTCAAAAAGACAAGAATATAGGAACTTATTCGCAACATAATAAACATGCCTTCATCATACCTTTCATCCAAATCAAATTAATGTTGATTAAATCATCCATTCGCTTGCTGAATTTCAAGGTTGTTTATCAATAATCATGTGAATTATCACAAATTTAGAACTTCAGTGTTTTACTTTCTTCCAAGGGAAAAAATAATAATAATAATTAAAATATATATATATATATGTTTTTCTGGTGTAATAATTAAGTCCACCGCTAGCAAATATTGTCTGTTTTGGCCCATTACATATCGCTATTAGCCTCATAATTTTAAAATACGTCTATTAGAGAGATGTTTTCACTCTTATAAAAAATGTTTCATTACTCTCCCTAATCGACGTAGAACCTCTAGTTGAGAGATAAGTTAGTAAGAAGGTGCATAATGGAAAAAAAAATTGTCAGGTAAGACATGGCTTGATTGCTATTTGTTCTTGTGATTATTTTTACAGTTAACAAAGAGAAAGAGAGAGAATGAGGAAGTCATTCAAAGAAATGGAAGAGAGGCTTAATTCTGAAACAGTAAAATGACAGGCGTAAAGACAACGATATTCAGGAGCCTAGCAAGCCACAGAGATGTATACATCTATACATCCAAAAAGCTTTAAATAAATGAACCTCTTTTAATTTAACTTTTAATTTAAGTCTTCATCCATATCTATTACGATTTAAACGTTTCAAAATGTATTATTAAAAGACGTAATTAGTTATCGATTCTTTCCATTAAGGTTATATGCTATCAAAGCTATTGTTTTCCTCGCTTACGTTTTTTAAACATTTATCAAACGTGACTCGAGTCTCAAACATATGTCAAAATTGTCTGCGGAATTAAAACAAGTACCACATAATCACTATCCTACTCCCTCGGCGGGTGATGGAGTAAACCACAATCATATGTACATCCAAAAAACTTTAAAATAAATGGGATCATCTTTTTCCCCATCAAATTAACTTCCCCTTGTCCATTTTTCATGTCATTTTCACCCAAACTAACCAAGACAACAATATTAACAGGGAAGAGAAGAAGATGAAGAAGGCCTAACTAAGAGCACAACAACCAAATGATATGACATAAGACCAACAAAAAAAAAAACAGAGACAGAGATAGTATTTAGTATGCAAACTTAAAAATTTTAAAATGTTCTTGGAACATTGAGTTGTATTGCCAAAACCATGGGCGAAAACTACTATTTTTTTTATCACTCCATTCATGAATTATATCCATCTTTTACTTTATTGTCTGAAACAATACGTGCAAAATCCTAAAGCACGTAGGCCATCCTTATTCAATCGAACATGTCAAAAACACCACCCTTACATTAGCCCTCGTCTTCTTTTTTTTTTTCTCTGCTCTTCTTTCTATGGTGAAGGTCATATATAGCTTAGTGGGGAATAAGGAGAGAGACAGAGAAAAGATTGGCCCGTGATAGTTGCATGTGACTATATATGATGAGCAGAAATATTTCAGTGCTGGCCCTTCATATTTTACCCTTACTGACCCACACATCACGTGTCCCACTTACGTCTGTTACCAACTATACTTCTCAATATAAGCTTAATTAATCATTTTACTTCCAATTACCCATAATCAGACCATCCTAGAGGTGAATCAGACAAACCGGGTACGGCCAATGTACAAAAGAATCTTGGCTGATCTTCATACATCTGGGTTATACTTATACGACGTCGTGGACACTGACCGAGTACATGGAGCTTGGGCAATAGTTTAAAATCCAAATGATAAGCTTTGCTTAGCTTCTATGGCTCGGCGTCTCCATGCATAGACTGGCTGGCGCTAGTTTTGAAGTTCCTTTATCTATTAAACAACCCATTTTTACCTATCTAAACTTGTCTTCTTTCTTCTTCTTCTTCTTCTTCTTCTTCTTCTTCCTTCTCTCTCTCAAATGTACATGAAAATGAAAGGGCTTAGTTTCAGAGGGCTCACATTTATGTTTGTGGTGGCATTTCTTGTCTGGTCTTCTAGTTTGGGGGGCTGCCATGGGAGAGCCACAGGCAAGCATTGGAGCAAGAACAGAGTGGCCTCGGCCACTCACTCCTCCAAGAAAGGGAAGGCTCACAGTCACGGCGGCGGTCACAATGGCAACCGCCGTGGCGGTGCATCAAAGACAAAGCCACCGTCCACTAAGCCGAAACAAGATGTCCCTCCCAGCCTGCCGCCCCAGAAGGGCGGAGGAGGCTTCAAAGGCGGCCATTCTTCCAGGTTTAACGTGCTCAATTTTGGAGCCAGAGGCGATGGAGTAACGGATGACACTAAGGTGAGAATTTATTCCATCTTCATGAAAATAGCTATGAACTTACAATTACAGAAGAGTACGAGTAATATACATGAATATATGCATTGTATATGTTGAATGGAAATGGTATTTTACGGAGAAGGGAAATGGAAAAGGTGATGGGCCCACTTACGAAGTCGGAATCTCGTTACGGCAGTTGGGTCAGGATTTGAGCAAGAATAATTGGGCGGAGTAGGCAGCAACCTGAAACCTAACGCCAAGCAGTAAAGAACTCAATTACCGAGAGTAAATAAAGGTAAAAGTAAAATAATTATGTGCATCGCAGGCATTTCAGGACACGTGGAAAGCCAGTTGCAAGGGGGTAGCTTCAACCTTCGTCGTCCCATCAAACTACGTCTTTTTACTAAGCCCCATCTCCTTCTCTGGTCCGTACTGCCAACCCGATATTATATTCCAGGTACCTTCTTTTCGGCTAATTTAGGGAATGATCATAGATTTATAAGTAAAAGAATACAGCTCCATTGATATGAGGTCTTTTAGGAAAGCCCAAAGCAAAGCCACTAGGGCTTAGGCTCAAAGTGAACAATATCATACTATCGTGGAGAGTGGTGTTCATCTAACATGGTATCAAAGCGATGCCCTAAACTTAGTCATATCAATAGAATCTCAAATGTCGAATAAAGGAATCCAAAAGAACAAAAGGAGCCGAGGGGTTGGATGAAAGTCCCCATCGGCGCAATTCTCCACCACAAGGACATCGAGCTATTATAAAAGAAAATATATAATCTTGTATCAATTGATTACAGGACTTAACATTACCTTGTTTTTAATATTTTCTATGTTGAATAAAAGTTGGACGGGACAATCATTGCACCGACGGACTTCAAAGTTTGGGGCAAAGGTCTATTACAATGGCTACAATTCACGAAGTTGATAGGACTTACCATACAAGGACATGGAGTTATTGATGGAAGGGGTTCAGTATGGTGGCATGTTTCACCTTTTCATGATCCCATTGACGATGAATCCAAACTATTTATCCCACTCAACAGCACTGTACAAGAAAAGTCACCATTCCCAGTAACTAACCTTCTTCACAACCCTTATGGTTTCTAAGAATTCTCTACAGTATTTTTTTTTTTTTTTTCTAAATTCGTATAACCTATGGCAGGAAAGAAGTGAGCTTGTGGGAAAGGTGCCTAGCATCAAACCAACTGTAAGCGGCATACTAGATCCTTAAATTCCCCGAGCTCGTTTTATTGTTTGTGAAAGATCCCTTGACATGGCTCTGTTCTTTTGTTGTACAGGCCCTGAGGTTTTATGGAAGTTTTAACGTTACTGTCACTGGCATAAAAATTCAGAACAGCCCTCAATGCCACCTTAAGTTCGACAATTGCATTGGAGTGTTGGTTCATAATTTTAGTGTTTCATCTCCAGGTGACAGCCTCAATACTGATGGAATTCATCTGCAGAATTCCAAGGATGTGCTAATCCACAGCACCACTCTTTCTTGTGGTATGAATTACTTTGCATTGAATCATTATTCTTGTCACACTTATTGTCATTACGACTGACTGGCATAAATAAGAACAAATCAATTCTAAGAATCCAAAGACAAGGAACACTTTTTTTCTCTCCCTTTTTTATGAGTTTCTAGGCTAATTTATCCACGCCTTGTGAGACAACTATCTACTCCGTAAGAAAACTCATGTTCTACTTTTTCAATCAAGAACAAAATCCAGGTAGTGAAGTTTATGCATTTCAATTTACACATAAATTGGACGAAAACTAACTACTAGGTTTGATCTTTCACACAGGAGACGACTGTATTTCAATACAAACTGGTTGCTCAAATGTGTATATACACAACATCAATTGTGGGCCAGGACATGGAATCAGCATTGGAAGTCTAGGGAAGGACAACACAAAGGCTTGTGTTTCTAACATCACTGTCCGGGATGTAATTATGCACAACACAATGAATGGCGTCAGAATCAAAACGTGGCAGGTATTCCTTCCTGGCACAATTCACCTTTAGAATTAACTCATCAATAGTGCTAGCCTTAATCAGTTAAGCGAACGCCTTATTTTGCATTAGTCTGTTATCTATGGATCAAACTTAAGGAAGATAGAAACCTATAAGAAAATATACACTTTTAGGTCAAACTAGCTCTGACGAAAATTGATTCCAAATTATGCATCTGCAGGGTGGATTAGGTTTTGTACAGGGAGTCCTTTTCTCAAATATTCAGGTTTCTGAAGTTAAGATACCAATAGTCATAGACCAATTCTACTGTGACAAAGCCAAATGCTCAAACCAAACTGCAGCTGTGGCTTTATCAGGAATAAACTATGAAAGAATAAGAGGTACTTACACAGTAAAGCCAGTACACTTTGCCTGTAGTGATAATCTGCCATGTACAGATATATCACTAACTGCAATAGAGCTCAAGCCACTTCAAGAACTCTATCACTTATACGGGGCTTTCTGCTGGCAAACTTTTGGAGAGTTGAGAACGCCTACTGTCCCACCAATTGATTGCTTACATATTGGGAAGCCATCAAGCAACCAAATCCAGTACGATTTTGATTCTTGTTGAGTGTGGAGTCGATTTTCATTGGTGTATTCACTTGTGTGGTTGGCATGATTTTCCAACCCCTTTTGACACCATGAACTTACGCTTGTACATTTTAGTAGTCCTGGTTCATAAGATTATTCAGCAAAAGTTATAGTTTTGCCCGTTGAGATAGGGACATGTTGCTCTGTCTATAGTGTAGTATTAGTATGCTGCTAGTTTGTCATGGCATGCTTCACTGGGCCGCATTATACTAAGACTCTACGAAGGTTTCTAACAAATCCGTCTTTTTGTACTTCAAATTTTTGAATATACATTGGTTAGTAGAAAAAAAATTTCATACCATACCGAGAAGGAAAACACATAATGGTATAAGAATCCAAGAAATCACCGATAATCATTAGGTAATATCATCCAAATTAGCGCCCTGACCAATATCCCCTTTGATAGTTTTGTTTGATTTGCGAGTATTGAACTTGTGAGATCCATATGGAAACCTCTCCCTAGCAGACGCGTTTTAAAAATCTTGGTCGGAAGTCTGAAAGGGAAAACCCAAAGAGAACCATCTCTGCTAGCGGTGGCTTGGGCTGTTACAAATGGTATCAGAGCCAGACACCGGACGATGTGCCAGCGAGGAGAATAACCCAAAGGAGTTGGACACGAGGCGGTGTGCCAACAAGGACGCTGGACCCCAAAGGGGGTGGACACAAGGCGGTGTGCCAACAAGGACGCTGGACCCCAAAAAGGGTGGACACGAGGCGGTGTGCCAACAAGGACACTGGCCCCAAAGAGGGGTGGATTGGGGGGTCCCACAACGATTGGAGAAGGGAACGAGTGCCAGCGAGGACGCTGGGCCCTGAAGGGGGATGGATTGTGAGATCCCACATCGGTTGGGGAGGAGAACGAAGCATTCTTTATAAAGGTGTGGAAACCTCTCCCTAGCAGATGCATTTTAAAAGCCTTAAGAACAAGGCATTTTAAAAACCTTAAGAACAAGGCATTTTAAAAACCTTAAGAACAAGGCTAAAAGGGAAAGCCCAAAGAGAACAATATCTGCTAAGGGTGGTGTGGGCAATTATGGGAATCCACTACTTGCCGTGGTCCATGCCACTAATCTATGGAGACGTTTCACTTTCCAAATACCACCTCCAAGTGAACATCTCCAAGTAATTCTACAATAATCGGAGGAATGACCATTATTGTAAAAGAGAAAAAGGGATAACAACCTTAAGCAGCAAGTAGAGAGCACAGATCAGCATTGAAGACAAGGTAATTTTTCACCATGGGGCATTCCATGGAGAGATCACTGATAAAAAATAAAGATGAAACCAATTGTATAAAAGAATAAGTCTGGTTATTATCAGACTTTTCCCTATTAAATTTGTCTGACCTCCATTGCTACAATGGAAAGAGAAACAAATATACGCAGACCATAACAAACTCGTAATGTGGATAGAGGACCTTTTGTGCACGCATTACCAAGTAAAACAACCATCGAAAAATTATCAACACAGAGAGCATTTCTACTCAACAGAACCTTGTGTGCAGAATAGACCACTGGCAGCAACATTATCAAATATATCTCACATTAATCTCAAAGTACTGACAGATAACGAATACAGAGAATCCAAACACAGTACTAAAATTAGACAAAACAGCGAATAAAGAAGAAATCCTACTGAAATTGCAGTAAAGTATCAGAGATGAGTAACGGAACTATGGACTTACCTCAATGGCAGTGTATAGACGACGGCAGAGGCAATGCGCCTTGTTTTCCCTCCGATCGAGCGGCGGCGGCGGATTGCAAATCCGACTATGCACAATCCAATTGCACGCTTCAACGAAAACGGCCAAATGAGATCGGAACGGATCCTCTACTCACTGGTCTGTCTCTCCCGCCCTGTATTCCCGCCTCCTTTCCCTTCGAATAAACTGCTTGTTTCAAACTGTAAATATAATTATAACCGTATTTAATTCATTTTATAAAAAATAAAAATATTTATTACTTTTTTTTTTTAATTTTTGTTGCTGGTCGGCTCTCCACCGCCTCTAGGCCCTGTGGCCTAAGCGAATTACTCGATGGTACATGCATCTGCCACAGCTTGGCAAGTGTCACGGGTTAGTCTGATGCTTGAGTGAATCCAGATGGATGGATGTTCGGGTGTCCGATGAGATGATCAACACATGGATCAGTTACCAATGGATGTGTCTAAGCATGCCAAGATGACCAATGTGTTACGAGATATGCATGTGTCATGTTGTTAAGAAATGAGATGACAATTAGCCGTGTCGATGGGTCACACATATTTGAACATGTACGCACAAACAAAGCGTGTGGCCAAACAAATTTGGATTCCACACAAGTTGTGTTCAATTGTCGAAGGCAAACCTCACCGACGGTACGATGAGCCACAAAGCGGGACAAAAAATGTAAAGGGTGCTGAGTCCTTCTTAAAACTTGTTGCGAGCGTGTCAAAATCACGAGGCCATGCCGTTGAAGAACTACGATAGTGGCCGTTGCAGAATTTAATTAAATGTTTGGAAACAAATAAATAAATAAAATTTATATTAATATTTTACTTTTATTAAAAAAAAAAAAATCAAATAATATTATTTTTGTATATAAAAAAAAACAATATTATTAAAAAAAAAATACTGCTCTTTTAACTAGGGGTGTACATTCAACCCGGCAACCTAACAACCCGAACTATAAGGATTGGGTTGGGTTGGATTAGCATTTTGGTTTGGATTACGTTCATTTTTCTGAACCCGAACGGAATCAATTCGATTTCGGATTCATGAATAAATCCTTCGAATCGATTTCGAATTTGTTTTTATTTTTAATTTATTTGTTTTGTTTATATTATTTTTAATTTCTTTTGTTTAATTTCTTTTATATACATATATTTTAAAAATACTTTAATATTTCATACTATTTTTAAAATACTTTAAAATAAACTAACATTAACTATTAATAAATTTAAATATTTATTAATTATAATTTATTTCTATGTTTAAGAATTTTATATATATATAATTTTAAAACATATTCTAAATTATAATATATTTATTATTTATTTATTTCAACATTATTATATCACAATTTATATATATTTTTATTTTTCTAATGGTTTAAGTTATTTTATTTTGTTATTTTTTAATTTTATATATATACATTTTGTATAATTTTTTTATATTATTTTATTATTTTTAATTTCTTTTATATACATATATTTTAAAAATCCTTTAATATTTCATACTATTTTTAAAATACTTTAAATTAAATAAATTCAAATGTTTATTAATTATAATTTATATATATGTTTAAGAATTTTATTATATATATAATTTTAAAACATATTCTAAATTATAATATATTTATTATTTATTTGTAATAACAATTTATATATATTTTTATTTTTTTAATAGTTTAAAATAATGTATAAATAAGCATATTTCAATTAAAACATTTTTATATACTTTTTATTTTTGTTATATACTATACCTTTAAACTAATTATTTTATTATTTAATTAATTTCATCATCTATCTTTATATTTTTGTTATTTTAATAAATAAAATTAAAAAAAAAAATTTTGACACCCCACCCGAACCCAACCCGAAAATACAGAGTTGGGTTGGGTCATAAAAAATTTTAGGTTGGATCGAGTTACCATCCAACCAATCCGATTTTTTGGGTTGGGTTGAAAAAATCCTCCAACTTGACCTGACCTAACCGCATGTATTTTAAGGTCTGATATATAAGACTTTTCAAATTTGAATCACCAACGACCGTAGGGGCCATATAACATTCAATTCCACGCAACATGCATCGACACGTGGCGACCACTTATTGGATAAGTTACCAACACGCTAACTAATATTAATTTCCTATTGTGTGCGAAAAGTCGAATAACAATTTTCAGACCCATGACGTGTTCGTTTCTGATTGGAGGTTAGTTGGCTCTTCCACGGTCCAGCAAAAGGGTAGTTTCGTACTTCGACTTTCCTTTGCCTTTCGGTTTATATTTAGGGCCCCGATGAGATCTACACCTTCCCACCGTCTCTCTTTTCTCCATTGTAGATTCTCGGCGGTGTTCTTTGAAGGTAATGTTCTGTTTACGAATTTTATTTTTCTTTTCATTCCTTTTGTGTTAATGTAGTTTTTCTGATTTTGAAGTTCTTCGATTTCTGTTGGCCATTGTTTTTTCCCCCTTTTTTCATGAATCTCGGACATATCTGCATCGATTTCAAATATGGATTATGCATTTCCTTGGATTCATACAAACGTGAATTGTTCCGATCTGCTTCTTTGGAGAATTTCATGTGATTTACTTTTTAATCGGATGCATGAATTTCTTGGATGAGCTTCATATGAGGTCAATTTCCTGATCGTTAGGCGATCTGATATTGCGATGCGATCTACCTTCAGATCCCTTTGATGATCAGGAGGGATATAGTTTTATTAAATTGATGATCCTGAGATGATGTTTTTTAGACGTTCCATTTGAATATTTGGTACTTGGATTTCTATGCATGATGATTTTGTTGATTTTCTGTTGCGGTGTTGCTATTTTCACTCGATTCTTGTCGCAATGGATATCGATCTCATCTTATACATTCTGATTGTTTTGGGATCTTTTATGAATTTCTAGGCAGGGACAGAAAATGGGGCTTACGTTCACAAAGCTTTTCAGTCGGCTTTTTGCCAAGAAGGAAATGCGAATTTTGATGGTTGGTCTTGATGCGGCTGGTAAGACAACTATCCTTTACAAGCTCAAGCTCGGCGAGATCGTCACAACAATACCTACCATTGGTGAGTTTCTTTTTCTTTTTAAGAAATTGAGTTATTATATTTTCTATCCTGATCTATGTGTGAGTGTATATACAACATGCAGATAGATCTATATGTATATTTTTCTTTAAGAAAAGAAGGTTGTAGATGTCTCTTCTATGCATATTTTTTCTGGTTTATTACTAGGATTCTACCATGGCAATGCTCCTTCATGTTCGGTTCACAATTTTCTTGTGCTAAAGAATATACTACAGTCGGTTGTTTGTGTATATAAATATTTTACTTCTTGCATGTATTCATTTGGATACTTATTTGCATAAAACATTAAAGTAAAGAGTCAATCACTAGATTGTCGCATTGATTTATGGATGAAGGATTATTTAGATGTCTCTCATAGCTGTGTTGTTTGTAACTCTATAATATTATATACCAAGTTTCCTACATCTTATCCAGTCAATTATTGTCTACATAAGACCAGTACACAACAAAGTTAAATTTAATTCTGTCAGCTGATTGTCATCTTGTCTGAAATGTCTCCTCATATCCTCTACTTTTTTGCACTTGTTTCATAAAAATTGCAATTTAGCTCACGTTCTTTATTTGCAGGGTTTAATGTGGAGACTGTAGAGTACAAAAACATCAGCTTCACAGTCTGGGATGTTGGGGGTCAAGACAAGGTTTGTACTTCTATATTGATTGTTCTCCAGTCTGATTTGGCATGGAGTTCATTAAAATTTTCTCCTGCTAGAATGCTTTTGTTCATTATTTCATTTGTATTCTCTGGCTGTCTAATGAAATTAAGTTCTTAAACTCTTGTTCAACAGATCCGTCCCTTGTGGAGGCATTATTTCCAGAACACACAGGGTCTCATATTTGTTGTTGACAGCAATGATAGAGATCGAGTTGTTGAGGCCAGGGATGAATTGCATAGGATGTTGAATGAGGTACAACATACTACATGCTACCTAGTTTGAACATCGGTTTGAAATTGCTCACGATGCTGCTATGAATTCCTTTTTTCCCATCTTTTTTTTAGTACTGTTTAAATAGTTCATGATTTACTATTTTTATTTTGCTAAATTACATTTGCCATCCCAATATCCAACTTCGAGCATTTATGATGTTGTTCTTAATGTCCTGCCAGACGTAAATGCTTGTCATTTGGGAAAGATATGCATAATAGTTAGCTACCTTTTCCCCTCTCAGTGTTTCAATTTATATAGACATAGTACAATTGATTACTAATAATTCAAGTGATCGCAGGATGAGCTGCGAGATGCAGTTCTGCTTGTGTTTGCTAACAAACAAGATCTTCCTAATGCAATGAATGCTGCTGAGATCACTGATAAGCTGGGTCTCCACTCTCTCCGCCAGCGTCACTGGTAGGCTTCGTTATCTTTATTCTGAATATAAAATTTTTCTTCTGTTATCTACTCAGATTTTAACGGCTTCCTCAATATCTTCAGGTACATCCAGAGCACTTGCGCCACCTCTGGGGAGGGGCTTTATGAGGGGTTGGATTGGCTCTCCAACAACATTGCTAACAAGGTAAATAATAGTATATTTTTCCAATTTACCAAGTGATCTTAAACTTTATGTCAATGGCTGTGAAATTTTGTTTTACACCAAACCTTCCTCCTTCGTATCCCCCATTCCACAAGCGTTGCATCTTCTTTTACTATTTATTGCCATCCTGTTGAGCCACCTATTTACATCTCTATGGTCCTTTTCTATGCAGGCATAAGGATATCGAACAGTTGCTTCTTCTGAGACTCGCAGTTCTGGATGCAGGGTGAATATTATCTAATTTTTTCATGGGGCACCTTAAAAGAGGTTATGGTTTTTTTTTTTGTTTTTTTTGTTTTTTTTGTTTACGGGAGCTTTTAGCAAACTCTTTGTCATTATTATACTGTAATATCAGAATGGTTAGGCTTGGTTATTGTGTTTCAGGCTCTATTTTAGGGTTGTACGCTCTGTTCTTTTCTTTTGATTTCTAGCTGAAACTAGTTGATGTATAATTCCATATTGGATTTGTCTCGTAACACATTCTTTTGTTGCTGCCATTTCAATTTTATTGCACAAGTACGAATAATACGTGATTGAGTGTCAAGATGAGCTTTTGGAGGTATTGTCCCGAAGTAATTCATCGCTTTCAAATCTTTCCAGTCAACAATGATGAATCTAATTATCAATTTGCCCATGAAAGTATCTGATGTAAAGCCGAGAGAACATTCACATTTTTTTGGTTAGAGATGAAAATCCTACGTCCAATATCGCTTTTATAGTATAGATTTATAATTTTTGAATTGTTGTAGCGGGTATTACTTTTATGGTATGGATTTAGAATCTTTGAATTTATGGTATAGATGTAGAATCTTTTAATTATTGTAGCGGTTACACCCAAAATCACTTTTATGGCGTATAGTTTTAGAATCTTTGAATTGTTGTAGCGGGTATTACTTTTAGGGTATGGATTTAGAATCTTTGAATTTATGGTATAGATGTAGAATCTTTTAATTATTGTAGCGATTACACTCAAAATCACTCTTATGGTATAGATTTAGAATCTTCTAATTGTTTCCGCCGTTACACCTAAGATCACTTTTATGGTATAGATTTAGAATCTTTGAATTATTGTAGGGGTTACACCCAAGATCATCACTTTTATGTTTAGAATCTTCGAATGGTGGGTTACACCCAAGATCACTTTTACGGTCTAGATTTAGAATTTTTGAATTGTTGTATTGATAGTAAATCTTTAAAAAAAAAAAAACAATTCAACCCTGGGTGTTATAGGGATTAACCCATTGGTCTTTAGGATGATAATGGATGTTTTATTCATATAGCTATGCTCGGAATGAATTGTTTTTTGTTGATAGGAAAAGGTAGGGATTGAACTATCGATCTTTAAAATAATAATGGATGCTTTTTCCATATAGCTAGGAATGACTTATTTTTCGATGTCCGGTGAAAATTAAAAGTTAGAGAGTGCTTAAATGAGTAATTTCTTCTTTTTGAGTCGCTGTTCAGTGTAATTTTAATAATCAAGCATGTATGCATGCATATATGTATGAGTTTATGATTTCTGCAGCAAAGAGGAAATGGGTGTGGCTGGGGCTTAGAGACAAGGGAATGGTTATGGGCACTGGCATGGAGCTAGCCTGGTAAGTGTATGGCTATGATTTTCAATTAAACCTAATAATTGTACGACCCATTCCCTTCCCCCCAATCATCCCAAATTCCTTTGGTATAAAAGAATATATAGAGCATCCCATTCCTAGCTGCCATTTTCAATTCTTTCCTGTGGAGCAAAATGTTTTGACCATATGCCAATTTGCCAAACCAATCCTAGACACTCACTTCTAAGCATTGGAAGAACAAGCTCGAACTCCTCTCTCGCCCCCACGCTTGCAACCTTGCACGCGTGCGTGCCCGAGCAGGTATCTTCTACATTCAATCTCCTTTTCCATCCATGTTGTTCTTATTATCATCAACTTGCATCTCGTATTACGTTAGCAATTGTACTTCTTTTCCTTCGAAAAAAAAAGTTTACAAGGAAAATTCAAGTCACCCGTCTTGTAATTTTCTATAGCAGGACTTTGGCTTGTTTTTGCAGCATGATGGGCTCCCTCTTGTCCCATCGCTTATCAAGTGAAAGAATTGCTCTGGAAAATGATGCCATATAGGTACAAACTTTTCCCTATATTTTAATTAAGAGATTAGGTAAATGTTGACACGTGGATCAAGGTTATTGATTAGGTGTATATTAATTTTCAGCATGTAGTTATAATTATTAAGTGATTTTATACGTATTTAGAGAAATATTTAAAATAATCTATGATTTTGAAGAGAATGGATCTCATCAGAATCTTCGGAGTAATTATGGTTGGCATATGCCTTAAACGCATCAACTTCATTGCCATTGCCTTCACCTATTGTTTCTTCTACCATATTCCATTCAACCCAACGACCCATTCTCTCCCTTTCTCCTTTTTTTGGAACTTTCCCTTTCTTTTATTTGACATTTTCAACCTAATTAATTAAATAAAAAAAATCATTATTTTATAATCAAAATGATATGTCCACTGCTAATAGATATTGTCTACTTTGGCTCATTATGTAGTATATTCAGCCTTATAAAGAGTGTCTACTTCCCTTGAGGGCCAACGTCCTCTATAGAGAGATTTTTCACCCTTTATAAGAAATGTTTTGTTTGTTTTGTTCTCTTTTTCGATCGAGGTAAGATCTCACAAAATATATTATAAAAAAGAATCTCTTGAAAAAAAACTTAGTAAATCAATAGTAACTTAAGTATTACTCAATTAGTTAAAATGTATTTTCAACCAACGAGATAAGTATTCTACTTAAGATATATATATATATATATATAACAAAAATAACTGAGAGATTTACGACCATGTTTCAAGGGTTTAAGATAAGGTTATTATTCTAGAGAGGACCCATTTTGACATTTTGAAATCTTAACTATGGTCCTTAATTTATAATTCAATAAAACTGTAATAATCTAATTATTTTTTTCTACTAATAGATACAAATTTGATTTTTTATTTCTCTTGTTGATAGTCACGTTGATTAATTTCGGTCATGAACCCGTCATTTTTCCATTCCCAATCATCTTCATCAATTATCGAAAACGACAACAAGTCTTCATTTTAGTTTCATTTCACTTGCATTTGCATTTGCATTTGCATTTAAATTTTCCCTCCTATAAAGCCCAACCCCAAGTCTCCCTCCATTATTCAACACCAACAAGACAAAACTCCCAATACATTATTCATTAATAATTTCCTCGCTCTCGGGAGTTCGGCATGGCCCCAGAACTTCCGGAGAATGTCCTAGCCGCCGCCGCCGCCGCCGCCTCCTCGGAGAGGGCGTACGTGACGTTCTTGGCCGGAAACGGTGACTACGTAAAAGGGGTGGCAGGTTTGGCAAAAGGGTTGCGGAAGGTGGCCACCGCTTACCCTCTGGTGGTGGCGGTGCTTCCGGACGTTCCGGTGGAGCACCGGGAGATTTTGAAGGCTCAGGGCTGCATCATTCGAGAAATTGAGCCGATTTATCCTCCTGAGAATCAAATTCAGTTCGCCATGGCGTATTACGTTATCAACTACTCCAAGCTTCGGATTTGGAATGTAAGTGGTAACATCCTTATTATTTACGAAAGATCCCAACTTTTGTTTATTTGATTCAATATATGACGTGGGGCTGTTCCCATGCTTAATGTATCATTTTAGATCCGAGGTTAGTTGGGGAGAGAACAAACATTCTTCATAAGGGTGTGAAAACTTCTCTTTACATGCATTTTAAAAATCTTGAGATAAAGTACGAAAGGAAAAGCCCAAAGATGACGATAGATACTAGTGGTGAGTTTAGGCTATATAAATGGTATCAGACATCGAGCCAACAAATAAATTGAGCCTCGAAGGAGGTGGACAAGAGGCGTGTGTAAACAAGGACGCTAGACCCCAAAGGGGTTGGATTATGGAATCCTACATTGATTAAAGATGAGAATGAGTATCGGGATGTTGGCCATGAGGGGTTGATTATTTAAAAATCTTGAGAGAAAGCCCAAAAAGAAAAACCTAAATAAGACAATATAATACGGAAAACAATCAAGTTGGAGAAAACTAAAAAATAGAAAATTGGTAGAGATGTCGATGACCCACCTTGAACCGGCGACATGACCCACCTTGAACCGGCGACATGACCCACCTTGAACCGAACAAATAGTAAAGAGGGAGTTGTGAGATACGTCAGGCCGGAGATAAGAATTATATTCCCAGTCCTCGTTCACGCGCGGCCAAAGCTAATTTATTTGATATATATATATTAATCTAAACATTGGGTTATTATTATTGGCTTTTTTGGAACAGTTTGTGGAGTACAAGAAGATGATATATTTGGATGGAGACATTCAAGTATTCGACAACATAGACCATCTCTTCGACAACCCCGACGGCCATTTCTACGCCGTCATGGACTGCTTCTGCGAGAAGACATGGAGCCACTCCCCTCAGTACTCCATCGGCTACTGCCAGCAGTGCCCCGACCGAGTCACCTGGCCACCCGCCTCCGGTCCCCCTCCGCCGCTCTACTTCAACGCCGGCATGTTCGTCTTCCAGCCCAGCCACCACACCTACCACTCCCTTCTTCACACTCTCCGTATTACCCCTCCCACTCCTTTTGCCGAGCAGGACTTTCTCAACATGTTCTTCCACAACATTTATAAGCCCATTCCTCCCACCTATAATCTTGTTCTCGCCATGCTATGGCGCCATCCCGAGAACGTTGAGAACGATGTCGATAAGGTCAAAGTCGTCCATTACTGTGCTGCGGTAAGTTTTTCTCGCTCCATACCTGTTCTTTTAACTTAATTATTAATGCTTAGGATGCTCGGGTTGAATTGGGTTCGGTTAGCTTATAATTTTTTTTTTTTTTGTTGGAATAAATAATAAATAAATATATATATATATATATATATATATATATATATATATATATATATATATATATATTAATTATATTAAAAAATTAACATAAATTCGAGCTTTAAGCGTTGTTGCTTGCCGGCCGAGGAACGGACTGGAAACGACTCCTTTGAGGGTCTTTCCCAAGTGTTGACCAGTCAACTTATAATTGATACGAACAAGGAAAATCTGACTGTTTAATTAAAACAAATCATTGTGATGGCCCCGTGGGAGCAGGTTGCTGCTTGCCGGTCGGGAAATGGACTGGGAACAACTCCTTCGAGGGTCTTTCCAAGGTGTCGAACAGTCAACTCATAACTAGTACAAACAAGAAAAATTTAACGGTTTAATTAAAACAAAGGATTGTGATAGCCCCGCGAGAGCAGATCATTGCTTTCCGGCCGGGGAACGACTCCTTCAAGGGCTTTCTCAAGGTGTCGAACAACTAACTCATAATTGGTACGAATAAGGGGAATCTGATGTTTGTTCGTTGAATCCAATATAATTTTAGGGTAACCCATGAACGATTTTTTCGGATTATCGAATCTTTTAACAGTCCTAATTAATGCAAAATTAATTATGACTACATGCGTTTTGCAGGGATCGAAGCCATGGAGGTACACAGGGAAGGAAGCCAACATGGACAGAGACGACATCAAAAAGTTGGTGGCAAAATGGTGGGACATTTACAACGACACGTCGCTGGACTTGAAGTCTGCAAACGACGTCGTTGAAGAGGAGGATCAAGCCAATACAGTCCCGAAATTGACAATTTTGTCGTCCATGCCTGAGCCCAACATTTCCCATGTGCCAGCACCTTCTGCTGCTTGATCGATCCATACATATTACCTTATTTTCTCTAATAATAAATATAATTATATATTTATATTAAATGTTTTTAATTCTACTTTCTTAATTAAACAAAGATTTATATACCCATTTATCTATATGCTTTGGCGGCTTATGAATTCCAAAAAAAGGCAGATAATTTTTTTTTAATTATTATTTACAAAATGAATGTATTTAATGAAATATAGTTATGAATAAATGAGAAATAATATTATCTATTTTTATTTGTTTTCGTTATTTTCTTTCGACCTGAAAAATAATTTATGTAACTAGAGATGTCTATTTAATTCGTGAGATTGAAGACCCATTTCAGAAATGGGATGAACAATCCTTGTTTAAATTAAGAACGAGGAAAGAAGTGAGGAGAGATTTCTCTATGTTAACTAAATGAAGTCGATGACGAATGTTATATTGTCCGTCCCTATTTTTGGTTATATTGTCTGTCCCTGTTCCCGCCTAATTCTCCGTCTCCGTTTATATACGTATGGAAAAATTAAGACACAAAACTTTTATATATATATATATATATATATATATATATATATATATATATATATATATATATATATATATATATTTCTTAAGTTCAATTTTTTTGAAGGGTGGAAAATATTGAAATTAAACTTTTTAAAATGAGGGGTAGAACATTAAATTTATTGTTTTTTTTAATGTTTTTTTTATAGAAATTATACGAAAAAATAGAAATGATTCATTAAAGTTTTTTAAAATAATACTTTCTATATATATATTATTAAAAATTCCCGTGAATCAAAAGAGACAAAATTGGGTCAGTTTCTTTTTTAATTAAAATATTAAAATAATGTCAAGCCCACAAAGGCAGATAGCCCGGCCCACAACAATGCTATGTGAGCAAAGTGAAGCCCTAACTAGCAGCCCAATAAAAAATAATTAAACTTTTAAAAAATTTAATAAAAAAACTCAAAATAGCTAATTTTAAATAAAATAAAAGTATTTTATTTTCAAAACACTTTTAAACTTTTAAGAATATTTTTAAAATATCCTTAAACTTTTAAAAATTACATCAAAATTATTAAACTATTTTTTAAAAAAATTAAAAATACTCTTATATTAATACTACGTTTTCAAAAAGATTTTTTTAGAACTAAAAAATATTATATTATTGGAAATTAAAATATACATCATTAATATTCATTAATAAAAGGTATAAATACGTTTTTTTTTTAGTAAATTTCAAGTAATTAATATATTAATAACTATAATAATGCTACTATTCTTTATTATTACCACGCCAAGTCATGAGACATTCTGGAAAATCTTAAAGTAAAGTCATGAGAACTTATGCTATTATGCTCAAAGTGGACAATATCATACTATTTTTGAGATGTGAGATTTATAACAAGCTCATCACATACTCACTTAGAAGTTAGTTGGTGAACGATCATCTGAACATGCTTTTTACAACAATAAATGTTTGGAAAGGGCGTTTTTGAACTTTTCAAAAAAAAAAAAAATATATATATATATATATTAATAAAAAAAAATTTAAAATTAAAAAAAAGTTTTAAATAATTTATTGTATTTTTTCTTGAAATAGATTACAAAATTTAGAGATATATTTATTAATTAAAAAAAAAAACTTTTCATCTAATTGGCTAATTCCAATCCTAACCACCGGACAACTGTTGCAAACGTCGGGATTCGTCTGTGTTCGCTATCTCTGGAAAGTCAACTGCTCATACTCGATTTAATGCCTCGCCGACCAAACTCCGATGGATCTTGATCGGGTCTTCTCAAATTATTTAAGACTTGTTCGTCAGGGTTTTAGCTTTGAATGTTTCACCACACTTCAATTTCAGCCCTCTCAACTTCTTCCCCAACGAAGACCTAGCGCCTACCTACCCTACGATTTCCCCTGGAATGGATCTTGAGGTCACGCCGGCCGGAGCCAACTCAGACACTCGATCAGACGCTCGGATATCTCATTTGGCATTGGATATTGGAGGTGATTGTTTTTCAGTTCATCGTTTTTTGTGATTCTACATTGAATTATCCAATCGCATTCTCCATTTCTTTCTTTTTGTGAGTTTGATTTGATCCTGTACTTGGAGTTTAGTTTCTGAGATTAATTTGTGCATTTTCGGTAGGAACTCTTGCTAAATTGGTGTATTTCTCTGGGAACAAGAAACTGTTGAATGATGATCGAGTTCAGAGTTCTGCAGAAGTTGGTGGAAGAAGTAGTTCCGTTCTCCATGGGAGGCTCCACTTTGCCAAGTTCGAAACTCGAAAAATTGATGAGTGTATAGCGTTTATTCACAGCAAGGAACTCGGTAATCGGTGATTTTCTTTGTCAGCTGAAACTTGTTTAGTTAATCACTATGAACTAGTTTGGTTGATTAAGAAATCTAAAATGGAAAATTGTTCATCTGCTTAGTTTTCTGTTTGCATATCACAATCCTGACATATCAAGAGCAATAATTACATGTCAACCTTCACCAAGATTAGTGTCTTGTACAATTTATGATGAACATCATGGCCTAGTTATTGTTATTATTGCTCAGCTGGTTTTCCATTCGGCAGCCAAAAAATTATCAAATGATGTAACATATAAAGTGAGAGATGAACTTGATTTGATCCAAAATAATTAGTATCTTTTTTCTTGAGGCTGTTCTGTTAACGTCTTGTGGGTGCTGATCTTCAGATTCTTCATGCCTCCCTTGGCCATTTTCTTCTCTTTTTGATACTCTGCTGAAAACTGAACGTTAAAACAGGTTCCCAGCACCCAAAGGAACTTGGCAATGGAAAAATTGTAAAGGTGTAACTGAATCCATCTTTATAGCTCAAAAGAATACTTTATCTGTTTTTCTGTATACTTCTAAAGCATGCAAGTTTATTGACTGGTAACTTTTGGTGAGAAGGCCACTGGTGGTGGAGCATTTAAATTTGCAGATCTCTTCAAGGAAAAGCTTGACGTTTGTCTAGATAAGGAAGATGAAATGGATTGCCTTGTTGCCGGAGCAAATTTTCTCCTGAAGGTTGGCCGTACGACCTATCCATTTTTTTTTTGCAAAGAATTAATATGCTTGAAATGTTGTGTAATGTGACTCTTGCCATATGATATTCCTATTTTTGTTACATTTTAGGCAGTCCACCAAGAAGCATTTACATACATAGGCGGTCAGAAGGAATTTGTGCAGATTAACCAAGATGACCTGTACCCTTTCCTCCTTGTAAACATTGGCTCTGGAGTCAGCATGATTAAGGTATGGTCATTATAGTATTTACTAGTTTCCTAACCATAATATTTCATCGGTATGGTTTCTTAAAGCTGCAAACTCTTATAATGCAATTAGTAGGTGGATGGAAATGGAAAGTTTGAGCGGGTAAGTGGAACGAGCCTTGGTGGCGGGACATTTTGGGGTTTGGGTAAGCTTTTGACAAAGTGCAATAGGTACTTCTTTCATCCACTTGGTCATTAGAACTATTGTACTTTTGGCAGATGGTTCAATTTCTTTTTCTGAATGTTCGTCACTCTACTGTTTCTGCTTTTTGGTTCTTCATAGCAATTTGAATCCATAATTTATGGAATTTAACGTTTAAGCATACTTTTTGTGAATGATTTTTTTCTTTCTTTAGTAACCAAATGTAAAATCTTTTAGTTTTGACGAGTTGTTGGAGTTGAGTCAGCAAGGGAACAATAGAGTGGTAGACATGCTTGTTGGAGATATATATGGTGGAGGAGATTATAATAAGGTACTCATTTCTATTGATATCATATGATTATTCATCATGCATGTAACAACTCAAGCCCAGCACTTGCAGATATTGTCCGCTTTGTTCCGTTACGTATCGTCGTCAGCCTCACGATTTTAAAACGCGTCTACTAGGGAGAGGTTTCCACACCCTTATAAGGAATGTTTCGTTCCCCTCTCCAACCAAGGTGGGAACTCACAATCCACCCCTTTGGGGGCCCAGCGTCCTCGCTAGCACAATGCACGACCGTGAGACTCACGGGATATGTAATAGGTCAAAACGGATAATATTTGATAGCGGTGGGCTTGGGCTGTTACAATGCCCGACCAATGTTACTGCCTAGTCTTTTATTTATAAAGGATGACGTTTCCCTTTTTATCCAAAAGCCTTCATCCTCTTCTGCTCTTTAATGCTTCAGATTGGTCTTTCATCCACAGCCATTGCTTCTAGCTTTGGCAAGACAGTTTCAGCAAACAAAGTGCTTGAAAATTACAGGACTGAGGATCTCGCTCGGTCCCTTCTAAGAATGATTTCAAATAACATCGGACAGGTAAGTCACGATGATGGATCTTCATTTACTGGCAAAATAAAGTAGAAACTTAGGAAATATAAGATTTTCTTAACTCAAATCTTCTCAGCTTGCCTATCTTACTGCACTTCGATTCGGACTTAGGCGGATATTTTTTGGAGGATTCTTCATACGTGGTCAATGTTATACTATGGACACCATATCTGTTGCCGTTCATTACTGGTAAAAAATGTCCCTGACATTTTCTTTATGATCTTACTCCTTTCAATCTCAAGCCTTCCAAATATGATATACAGAGTCTTTCCCTTTCAGGTCGAAGGGCGATGCACAAGCAATGTTCATGCGGCATGAAGGATTTCTTGGGGCCTTGGGTGCTTTTATGAGCTATAACAAACAGGGCCCTGATAACTTCATACATCTCATGAAACAAGACCCAAAACACGAGCCAGAGTTTGATGGTACAGCGCCGGAAGAGGAAGACAGTGAGTATGCAAGTATAGATTGTTTCTTGGATTTGGCTTAGTTATTCAGCCGCAAATAAGACCACTGTTAGTGCCTTACTCTCTAATACGCATCACATTGAGATAGAATGAAATAAAATAGACTTTCTAGGACTCAAAATGTAGCCATCTGCAAAAACTAATATTGTATGCTCTACATTCAATATATCCCCACGGATTCCCAAGTTTTTGTTCTTTCTCCTTTTCCCTACGAACATGCTGAATTTGTTACGTGACTGATTATCTCTTAATAATCATTGGATGTAACGAAAATCTGC